AATATCTTATCGAATTACTGTTGTGGAGTGCATCGGGCGTGCACAAACAATCCCCTAAAGTCTGACAGGAAATTGGATGACATGGCGAGAAAACCAGCGTAGAAGAATTCTTTCTTTGTCCTTGCAAAAAGCAACTGTTCCATCTGACGAGGTCAGCAGTAAATCAGATTGCGAAAACCGTACAGTGGTTTGAAACCTGTTGACATCGAAGTTCTGAGGAAGGTCATGATGCAACTGAAAAACGACATGCCGGTTCTTGGCTTAGCCGGTTGCCATTCAGAGAAATGAAAAATGTTTGATGCAGGTACGCAGAGCTGATCAGGCTCTGTATCACCACGAACTGACAGTGTCTTCGTTGGGCAGTGTCTGTCAGTCGTACACTGCCCCCCTGCTTTATAAAGGATGTTTAGAAATTTTACATCTTTTCAGATGGTCCACACACACGCCTCGCTGCCGCGAGGCTGTTTTGGCAACTGAGGTCCCGACAATGAGATGAAAATGAAAAAAAAGGGAAATGAAAATGAGGTGAAGATGACAATGAGATGAATGTTACTTAACCAGGACGCAAAGAGGGGAACGCAAAAGAAGAGGGAAAGAGCAAACACCAACACAAGAAACCTAGCCCAGAACGGGCAACCCTGGAAAGGCAAGGGAAAAGAAAAGCGGAGGCCGACGGAAAACGGAACAAGACCAGCGGAGGAGGGGGAGGACAGAAGCGCCTGAACCAACCTGACACAGCGAAAACCTACAACCACCTCAGCACGCAACGGGCCAAACCTACCTGGAGAGAGGAGAACGCAAGAACACATGAAATAGGGACCCATGGGGAACTAGTGAATGACATGATGCATCCACAACGCATGCAGTATTCGTGATAAGGCTCAAAGGCCCTCGGCTTTCAAGTCACAACCCTCTGGACGGCTTACGTGTTCAACCCCTGAATTACGTGCACAATTGAACCTCACCAACGACCATCAAAAGAAAAAATCACCACACCTGCAGGAATGTCCTGAAGCCTTCACATGGTCACATGTCATGTTGAAAATGTCGAGCTCCGTACTCTCTTGGGCAAAGATGGAAAAGGAGTTGTTGGCGCAGCTTCGGTCTACCATCCCTTGAAGTTCAAACAAAAGGGTGGTTCCCAGGTACAGCGGGCAGCTGTTCAACACATCGACATCGACCGGTGAGACCTGAAAAAAGGCTGGCTGTTCACTTTACTTAAACGAATTACTAATTCAAAAGTGTAAATTCAGACATCGTTTTACTGTCAATTGTTAGCCTGGAAAGGCTTTCCCCGAAGGGTTCCTGCCAACTTGACGTAAACAGCAGGAATGACACACTTGCTCAGAAATATCTTATCGAATTACTGTTGTGGAGTGCATCGGGCGTGCACAAACAATCCCCTAAAGTCTGACAGGAAATTGGATGACATGGCGAGAAAACCAGCGTAGAAGAATTCTTTCTTTGTCCTTGCAAAAAGCAACTGTTCCATCTGACGAGGTCAGCAATAAATCAGATTGCGAAAACCGTACAGTGGTTTGAAACCTGTTGACATCGAAGTTCTGAGGAAGGTCATGATGCAACTGAAAAACGACATGCCGGTTCTTGGCTTAGCCGGTTGCCATTCAGAGAAATGAAAAATGTTTGATGCAGGTACGCAGAGCTGATCAGGCTCTGTATCACCACGAACTGACAGTGTCTTCGTTGGGCAGTGTCTGTCAGTCGTGCACTGCCCCCCTGCTTTATAAAGGATGTTTAGAAGTTTTACATCTTTTCAGATGGTCCACACACACACACACTAGACAAGAATGGATCATTATATGATCCGTCAGGAACTGAATCCTGTAACATGTAAACCACCCTAGATCGTTAGATTAATGCAGGTACGTTTACACGGGTCCCGGGGGGGTGTCTTCGGTGGCCACCGACCCCCCCGGGACCCCGGTGGCCCCCTGCAGTATATTTAGAATTAGAAAGGGAGAGGACAAAGGAAGAAAAAGAGAGAGAAGAAGTTTTACATCTATTCAGATGTTACACACACACACGAGCGCAAACTTCCACTGACGAAGCACCTTCGGAGTCAACATGAAAACCAAAAGACGACTGTTTCAGCGTATTCCGTCACCCTCTGAAAGAAGGTAGGCGTATGAGAAACTCAGACAACTGCAATTTCTCACACAGGATACCAGAAACAAAACATGGACATGAATCCCCATGCGTCTACGGGGACCCAAATATAACCATTAACGCGATGTCCCAGCGTCAGTCCAACGTCCATAGAAAAATCAAACTGAGACACCAATAAATCACGGTCCAAGCAGCCAACTAAGTGCCCTGCTGAGCATGTACTCCCCCTTTCAAACGGAGCATCCAAACATGTCCAAGATAAACCACAATCAGTCACAATCCAAACATACAAGACACAATTTTCGTGTTAGATGTTGGGAGGCCTCAGATTCTTCCTCTGCCATTGGGTCCTCACAGAAAGGAACCCTTTTAAGTTGAATCATCATCATCGGCCTACAACAGCCTAAAACAGAAACCGATAACGACGCTCAAAAGTGAAGTACACGACAACACAATGATAAAGACAGCACCTTCATACCTCATGAAGACACTGAGTCACCGCAATTAGTTGACTACGGAGTCATCCGATGTTGTTCGTCCCAAATTTACAAGTCGGGTCCGAAATCGTCCCATCACAACACATCACATCAAACTGAAACAATGTTGCAAAGAAATACAACTTTGAAAACAATTCCACATGAAATGGCATGACATGACAACTGTGCAGACCTACTGACATCTCTGGACACTACCCAGTGCCCTGTTACTTACAAGAATCTCTCATGCACTAAGCACTCTAGGCACAACCATATGCCTCTTATCTTCACAACAACGCAGCTGAGTGCTCTCTTTTCTCAATCGCAAGACTTTCAGAACCAATGCGTGCTACAGGTGAACCTCGAGCCGCAACAAAAGCAGCTATTCTCCATGTCGCACAGCATACAGGCTTGAAACCAATCGGGGTAAATCCCAATTTCTCCATATCATACACAGCATGCCACAAAGATATTCAATATCCTTGCTCGGCGAATCTATCCTCGGTTCACTTGATCACCGTAAATACGGTGAAGACGTCCAGTGGCATTGACTTGGAACCACCCCTTGGGGGCCCAGGCCGCGTTCACGGTTAGTCTGCCGCTGTCTTCGTATCCGGAGGGAGAGATGGACCTCACGGTCCCTTGAGGATTGACGGCAAGCACCTGCTCATTCTTCATTTGGGGAGTGGCTTCCGGAAGGGCATATGACATAGGCGGATTTTTGTCGCTTGAATCTAGGTTTGGCGCGACCCGATTTTGATAGCCGTAGAACACACCTGGCTCCATCTGAGGCTCCTGAGGCGGAAAGCCATACTCCTGGGCGGCTGCTCGAAGCAAACTCCGGCCGCACGGCAGCAGCATGCTCATGTCTTCCGCTCGCTCCATACCTATGGGCTTGCACCCCATAACCGGGCACGCGCCCCTCCACTTGTGGAAACGCTGGAGGCGGCGGAATGCAATGTGCCCCACCTCCCCCTGCCCCTCCACGGGCAACACCACCTCGTCCTGGCACTGTGGGTGGTTGTGGAGGACCACCCACATGACTCGGTGCTGGCGGTGGTAAGTTCGGCTTTTCCTGAGTACTGCGCAAAGTCAAATTCAATTATTTCCAACTCCACAACAAGAACCCACATACACAACACTAACAGGAATTTTCAGCGGAGCTGATAAAATTCGCGGTATTCGCAATGTCGAACGCGCATGGAGCGGTGCGCACTTATAGTTACAATGCACCAAAAATCAAGTTTGCCTTTTCTGGAAAAAATGCAGTCGCCGGAAAAATTGATCGCCGAAAGAAATACATCACAAAATGAGGTGATTTGAAAAACAGGAGAAACTTCCAGCCGAATCCCTTTTTTCATCGCAGATGGGGCGAGGTCTCACCTATCCGGCTCCACCCCACCTAGTTTAAGGTGATGTCTGAGCCTCTCCCAGTCTATGACGGTTCGGCCAACACCACGCTCTTCAAACCAGGTTGTGATGAGCCTGCTGGCTCCATCTGAGGGATTACTATGACTGGGACATCTTCCGAACCAAGTACAGTGCTGCATTTCTTACTCCAGGCAAACGAAATCGTGAATCATGCTTGTGGCGAAAACAGTTTCTCCGGCCCCTTTCACAAAAGCCATCCGTGACGACTCATTGTCTATGCAATAGACTATCAGGGCACCTGCAAACAAACGCCCCCAAGCTACACATGCTGCAAGAACTGGAAGAATCTCGAGCTCGTGGATGGGGTTTTTTGAAAACCTGAAAAACCCCGACAGCACATCCTTGGGCACAGCTTCACTGAAGAAGAGTGGCAAACTCCACAGGGTGAAATTATGAGTCCTCCTATGCTTCCTTCCTGGCTCTCCGGAGTGCAAGCGCCATCTGTGAAGATGATCCAGGTGTCGCACATCTGTCTGCCAACGGTGATTGGTGGTGCGCTCAACACCCTGTCTCTCAACAAAAGCAAGCTACCTTTCAAAGAATCATCCAAGCGTCTCTTGCCTCCTCTCTCAACGCAAAACCTGCCAAGGTTCTTTACAGCAGCATTGGCGTTTCGCCCAAAACTGTAACCTTCAAAGAAAACCATGCGCCCTCGAAGTCTCTCGGCCTCCTTAGGGTCTAAACAGTCCTCGGCCAGGATGTCGCTGATCTTTGTCACAAGTTCATTTCTTCGATCCTCGGTTTGTCCAACAGTAACTTCCATCTGTTCAGAACGCTCAAGGTGAACCTCGAGTCCCAGCATCTTGAACTTTCGATGGAAAGGTTGGAACTTCTTGCCATCTTTCGCGTGGTCGTAGTCCAGCCCAAGCAGCGTCAGCAGTGACTCCACGCTCCATGAGGTGTTGCTCAGCAACTCTTCCCTGCTCAAGACGCTGTAGTCATCATAGAAAACTGTCCAGAAAATTTTTAAAGCGACTAATCCAATGAACCAGACTGCCAAGCTGACACGAAGGAAACCAGCAACGCTCCCAACAGCTCCAAAAGGTAGGGCGTTAAAGCCCAGCAGCTTCAGGGTCTGGTCCGACAAGGAGCGCACGAGCATGCGCAAATGAGACCTGTCTGTCGGATGCACAGCAAATTGCCTGTACGCACTTTTCAAGTCGTAGCACCTCCCAAACATGCTGGGAAACTTTGAACCAGGGAAAACTTTGAAAGCCTCTGCAACCATCGAGGCCAGTATGTCGATGGACTGTAGCTGGAACTTCTCGTGCAATCCCACCGTCCAATTCAAACCACAGCAAGAACAATCGTCTATGACTCTTATCTTGTTTGACTGTCTTATTCCAAACCTTTTTCCAACAAACGTAAGGCCCTCGCCACCCTCGGTTTCGTCGAACCAAACCCAACCTTTGTTGACCTCTTCTTCTGTCTCACTCCAAGTAGCCGTCTCAATGTCCGGCTCCTGTCTTACCAGCATGCTCTTGTATGTAGAGGCATTCAAGGCCTTTGCAAGGCCTTTCAGGGTGTCCATGGACATCGAAGGTCTCTTTGTACGGGTTTTGAAAACGTTGGACCTAGGCATCCATCCACTAAGCTTGAAGCCACTGGCGATGTTGTCGATGAGGGATGTATCCGGGTAGTTGCAATCCCGGAGGATCTCTTTCCACAAGGCCAGCCGTTTGTTTCCAACAAGCTTCAACACATGGGGGGGCATTTTTGCCCTCATCGCTTCTTCTTCGCGTTGTAGTTCTGATGCCCTCTTGAGGTACTTTTTGAAAAAGGCAACCCTTTCTTTGGCAAGTTCGGCCGGCTCTTCGATGAAGTTTGCATGTATCATGTTCTTCACTTGTGGATCCACAAATCGATCCAAATTTCTGGGGTGTCCAGCTGCAATGGCACGCTCGATGAACTGTTCAGGATCGCTGGGAATCCCGATGTTTACCTTCTCAACCGCAAAAAGGGCAGTCACATTCAGAACTACATCTTTGCCATCTTTCAGTTGTGTCGACCGGAAATCCCCCCATGTAATGACTTGTCGTGCAACTGCCTTGGCACCTTTTGGAAGGGTGCCAATGAACTTTTCCAAATCTGCAAGGCGCTGCGGGTCTGTGAAAACTGAAATGTAGTCCCCAAATTCAGCAACCAAGGGTTTGACTTTGTGGCCCCTTGGCAATGCTCCCAAAACCAGTCTGGAGAGTGGTGTATTAGTTGTTGCCGATTCAGCTTGTTCGGCCATGGTGTCTGGGGCAGCAGCTCCCAACTGCAGAGCCTTTTCACGAAAACAGTGCACTATGCGTTCACACAGTAATATTGGGTAGGCAGCCTCTTCCGCTGTCGCAAACTTGATCCCCCCACCAGTGAGTTTTGTTGTCCAAGGCTTGTGTGAATGCCGCTTATCACACAATATCGCCAGCGAATCAAGCCAATTGTCGTTGACCCACAAAGACGTGGATTTATCTCTGTCTCCACCATGTGCACAATTGTGGAACGTCACGTAGTGGTGCTGTTGCTCGTCACACAGTTTTCTCATGGGCGTGGTACTCCAGTAGTGCGAGTTGGTGGGGTTCTCTATGCCCACAAAAATATTTAAAGAACATGCCAGCGAAGCCAACACATACACAGCGTCATACAGCACGTTGGCTTTCTCAACCTTGATTTTGCCCAACTCCGCTAGACCATCCAGCTGATCCGGCTGTAAAATGGATCTCAGAGGTATTGGTGTTTTGACCCCAGCTCGCTCCAGCGACACCAGTCTTTTTTCTCTTGCTCTGCTGCATGTTCCACATGAAGGCGCTATCCAGACACCTAGGATGCTGTCTGACGACTCCTCCATGAACTGCACCATGCGCTCCAGGTCGTCAGGGTCTGTTAAATCAAAAACAAATAGGAAAACCACAAGATCTCGCAGTTGAGTGGTCCACTGCCTTTGTTCTGAAGCCACATTGGTGCGCCACTTTTGAAAGTCTCGCGGAGCGAGCGCAAATTTCGATTATAAACAAATCATCCAAAGACATCCCATGAAAACTCTTTGCAGAAGTAGGCCCTCCCTGAGTGTGATTGGTTTTCATCTCCTCAGGTGGGCCAGTGTGAGATGTTAGGGTTTCGCCATTTGGCGTCTCCTCTAATTCGAAGTCCATCTCATCTTCGGAGAGTGTGGTCCCATGCAAAGAATCTGTGCAAAGTGCACTTTGGTACTGTTCGGACTGATGTCCAAGGGCCCCACCTCAACCACTGCGATCTTCTTTTCGAATTTTCTCACATGGCTCAGTGGGATCGGCGTGTCAACCTTTCTTGGCATCTCTGCAAACAACTGCAGAGTGTCCACCTTTGTGACAACATGCGCACAAGTGCAAGCCACTTGTGCACTTGGGTGGCTTGCCAGTGGTCGTCAATTGGCATCCATCTTTCATGTTGTAGTTCCAACAAATCTGACCTGCTGCAACCCTTGTAGTGTAGTTCTTGAGCTCCTCTGGACAGCTTCTCTCTGCGCGTGTCTTGCACTTGTTGTTGTTCTTTGGCGCAGCTGTCCTTGTAGAAGCTTTTGGTGTTGGCTTGGGCCGGTCTGCAACATCCACAACACGCTGGCTTGCCGGCAGCGGCAAAAGCAACATTGTAACTCTCGGGTCAGTGGACAACCTGGTCACATGCTGGTCAAGAGGAATCACAGTGCCTTGCATCTTAAGGCTCCCATTCACCTCCTGAGCTAAAATTGTCCACATCTCACGATCTGCTCTCACAAGCTGGTCGATCTTGATGCTTTGAAATCCTGGGTTCACTGCACGGCCAAGAAGATTCAGCATGTAGTTGATCCAACGTTGGTGAACGCTCCAGCTGAGCACCCTGCATTGATCGAGCGCTAAACCTCTGTGCATCATGCACCATTGAAATTTCAACTCAGTGTTCCAGTCAGCTTCTGGCACCTCCACACTGGGCCCAACCTTCAACTGGGAGTTCTCGACTTGGACGGACGACTTGCTATCTTTCAAAGACATCTGCACCTCGTCGTCCCTTTTGCTGCACTTTGAAGGTGCCAGCCAAACTATGACACCAGACTCATGCATCTGGTTTGCCAAGTCAAGCAGGGCGTGACTAGGGTCAAGCTCACCCGTCATAGTTATGCCACTCAGCCTAGCAAGTTGGATGCGCCTGATGCTTGACATCTGGCCTACATTTGGAGCCGCGCCAAACACCCTCTGTGCCAACAGGTTGAATTGCTCATCTGTTGGTGGCATCTGCGGTGTGCCCATAGTGAAGGCCATCGCACTGTGAGTTTTGATCTCCTGGGCATCAAGTGCAGCTTTGAGAGCTCCATCAGGAGATATCTCATCGCATCTTTGAAAGAAAGCTGCAGTTGATTCCACCAGACTCATGGCCGTCGGAGATCCACGGAAGGCAGTGAAAACTAAAAGAAAAGTTGTCCTGCTCAATTGTGTCCACTGGCGTATGGCATCGCAATTCACAAGACTATTAGAAAACTTTGTACTGATGCCTTTCCATTGTGCAGATGGCTCTTTGTCGTTTCAAACTGTGAGAATTAAAACTGAATTCACTCTCCCCAAATCTCGTTCACACGTCTTCTCTTGCGCTGGCCACAACTCAGCGGAATTCAGACGCTGAACATGGGTGATGTGATGATTAGTGGACATGTCAAAATTGTTTTCGGCATCGCCTCACTTGCAATGCAATTCACATGTTTCTGTCTGACATCACTGCATCCCAGAAAGTCAGCTAGACCGCAGTGTTTTTCTGCGCCACGCTGCCAGTGAATGCAAAATGAAACATTGAAACTGCAACTCAGCAAGCTCACATTGAAAATGGTAGAATGTAGCAACAACGGAATCATGGACAATCATCTCAGGGCTTGACGTTGAGTTGCGTCATGCTGAGGCATCACGCTTTCGATCCCTTCTGAAGCTGTCATGGAGTCTTGAACTGCCATGTCATGTGTCACAGCACAGTCTGAAGTTTCAAAGTGAGTTAGGATGAGTTAGGCAACAACCTGAAACAAAACAAAATTGAAATTGACCGCATCACTCTCTAGACCTGCTGAAACACAAACTGCAAAGGGGTGTGTCAAATTCAGGCGCCACACTGAGTTTCTGGTGCAGGGGCCCTGCACTCCTCCCACATGAGAAAACTTGCCGATTCTCGGTCGACATGAGGTGAAGCGTTTTGAGGTTCCTATGTTGCCACATGACGAACCCCGGTGGGGCTTCAGCAGGCTGGAAAACAGGTGGGTTCCTAACTTCCCTAGGTCTCTCTTCCTCACTGGATGTTGAAGATGAATCCATGTTGCTGCCAGGTTCTGAGTCCAAAACTTCAATGATCTCTACCTCGTCTTTGACGTGGATCACGGCGTTGGCACCTGCAGGTTCATCACATGTGACAGTCTCTTTGATCCTACCACTTCTCGTGTCATCTGGATTGAAGAGTCCTGTTTCGATTTCTTTGATGAGCTTTTCCAAGACCAACAAACTGGCTGCTGCCCCGTCTCGGCTGTATACCAGTGCCATCTGAAAATTACTACTGTGATATCCAAGTTGGAGCCGTTCTTCAACACCAATGCCCCTCTTTGCTGCAAATGAGAGCAAAGTCGACTTCAGTGAATGGCTTGAAATTCGACGCTCAGCAGAAGACTCTTGGCTCCCGACAAGTTTGCGCAGCCATGCTGCACACTCCTGTGTTTCGAGAGGCCTACTGGTGACCTGTGCTTGAAGTCCAGGCGCCGGCATAATCAAACCTTCTGGTGGCCAAGCAACTTGCAAACTGTCTCTGACCTGAATCCAAACTGAACCCCAATCCTTTCCATCGATGCCGTGACATGGTGCAACCATTGGTAAAAACTGGTGCCTATGCATCTGAGCTCTCATCGTTTTATGTCTGCCTGTACGTGCTTCTAAAAACTGAAGCTGGCCGCTGTTGTCTGTGTCCACGATGACATGTTCAGTTCGCATCAGGTCACCCCATCTCGCCCGACAGTAAACACACATGAGCAGGGCCCCACAGAAAAGTCTCACCCACTGGTCATCACAGTTGTAAAGCAGTTCATGGAGTCTCCGCAATTCTGAAACCTTCAATGGAGACGCTTGCACACGTTCTCTGAGCACATCACCCAAGCAAGCCCCTTTGCATCTTGCGCTAGTTGTCAAGGGTTCCAACTCATCCACAGCCATGACATGTCGCACAAAGTTGACGGACTGCATGTAACCCTTCATTCTTGATTGGGGTGCCTGACTCAATTGTTCAGAACAAAGGAAATCATAAAACGACCGTTCAGAACATGGAAAAGAAAGCTGATGCCTGTTCAAGTGGTCACAAAGCCTCATAACACTGTAGCCTCTCTTCTTGACAGTCACCGGCGATCTACCTGCAAACATATGTGCAAACATCATGAAAACTCTGTCAGTCTCTCCAAGCTCTAGGGTTTTTGTAACGATGCTGCAACCTGACCCCCAACGATTTACAAGTGCCATCCAAAATTTGACAGAACTCTGTAAGTCTGCGTCACGTTGTTCCTGCCAGGGAATGTCAGGCTTGTCACGCACCACATCGTGAAACGAGAGTCCTGTAGCTGAACCAGTTTTGATCCTAGAACTTGAAGGCATGGTGACATCTGCAGGGTCCTGAGTTGTAGAGGTATCTATGGGTCTCTTGAGCGTTTCACCAAAAGGTTTGTAAACATCCAGCAGTGACTTGTTCCCAAAGATGGCGCCCCATATGCCCTGCTCCCAAACATGCTCGACTGTATGAGGAGGAATTGATCGTGAAGCAACTTCCAAAGCAGTCTGAGTGTCAAACTTCGTAACATGTTGTGGAGCATCCGCAACAAGGGTCTGGCTTCTTCGAAAATCTTCAAAACAGGATTCAGATGATCTCCCAAGCGAAGGTTCAGCAGAGATGCTTTCATCGCAATGGTCAGCACTCAAAAAACCACTGTCCAAAAAAGGCACTGTCTCCGGTAACGCATCGCCAACTGCAAAAAGTTCTTGTAAGCCAGCAATAGGTCCAGTCCCAAGGTCCGTCCATTCAGAAAAAACATCTGTTGCTAATTCATTCAGGTTTTGACTGTCTGCGTTTCCAGGTTCCGGCAAAGAGCTCTCCACCGTCTGATGTGGCTCAGACCCGAAAAATCGCACAACCATGCTATCGACCCAAGACTAACCTATCGCGAAGCTAATGTCCCCATTTGACAAGTCTTTTGCACACAGACGCTTTTACACACAGACGCTTTTACACACAGACGCTTTCACACACAGAGGCTTTTACACACAGAAACTCCTGTACACACAGACGCTTTTACACAGACACTTTTTCACACAGACGCTTTTACACACAGACGCTTTTACACACAGACAGTTACACAGAGACTTTTACACACAAACGCTTTTTACACACAGACGCCTTTACACACACTAGACAAGAATGGATCATTATATGATCCGGCAGGAACTGAATCCTGAAACATGCAGATTAGATACTGAGGAAGGTTCTGATGCATGTAGATGTCAAATTGATTCCAGATTGCGTCAACAGTGCAGTAAATTGAAATTTCAAATGGACGACGTGGAGGTTCTTGGGTTGAGCCTCTTCCCATTTCTGAAAAAATTGGCAGGTACGTCACGGTGATCAGCCGTGATATCACAAGCATTGGATAGGTGTCTTCGTTGGCACCTGACCTATCCATGCTCCAGGTGCCCCCCGCATATAGATATATAAAGTATAAGAAGTTTTACGTCTATTCAGACGATACACACACACACCCTGCCTCCGGCAGGGTGGTGCGCGTAAACATGAGATGAAGATGAGGATGAACAGGGAATGAAAGATGAGATGAGAGTGAAAATGAGATGAAAGTTACTTAACCAGGACGCGAAGAGGGGAACGCAAAAGAAGAGGGAAGGAGAAAACACACACCAACACACCTAGCCCGGAACGGGCGAACCCTGAAAAGGCAAGGGAAAAGAAAAAGCGGAGGGTCGACGGACACGGACCAAGACCAACGGAGGGGGGGGAAGACGGAAGCGCCTGAACCAACCTGACACAGCGAAAACCTACAAAAACCTCAGCACGCGACGGAGCCAACCTACCTGGGGAGGGAAGAAAGCATGAGATAGGGGACCAATGGGGAACTAGTTGGTGAAAACAAAACCAAACAACAAACAGGATTCAGTTCCTAAACCTAGAAGTCGTGCGTTGTGCCAATCCAGGCCCGTGTTCAAGTCAGCCACAAGGGCATTTAACGGCTTACAAATTCCCTCGAATTAGATGCACAATATGTTTCACCTCACCAGAGAACCAAAAGGAAAGAAAACCACACCTGCAAGACGTGTGCCTGCCTGATTCCTGTATCCAATGCTGTTGTCATGAATCGTCAAAAGCAGCTGCGAAAAGGAGAAGGTTTCTGATTGTTTCGAACAACGTCACGCTAGAAGAATGCAATTCACGAGGATCACAAGGGACAACAGGAGCCGCGGGACTCTTCGAAAACGGTGGATAACGGTAAGGCCATCTGTTGCACATTACTTAGACGAATTACTAATTTAAAATGTGTAAATTCAAAGGTCAGGACAGTCATCACTCACCCTAAAAAGGGTTGCCTCAAATGGCTCCATGGCACCATGTCGGAGCCACCATGGAAATCACACTAGACAAGAATGGATCATTATATGATCCGGCAGGAACTGAATCCTGAAACATGCAGATTAGATACTGAGGAAGGTTCTGATGCATGTAGATGTCAAATTGATTCCAGATTGCGTCAACAGTGCAGTAAATTGAAATTTCAAATGGACGACGTGGAGGTTCTTGGGTTGAGCCTCTTCCCATTTCTGAAAAAATTGGTAGGTACGTCACGGTGATCAGCCGCGATATCACAAGCATTGGATAGGTGTCTTCGTTGGCACCTGACCTATCCATGCTCCAGGTGCCCCCCGCATATAGATATATAAAGTATAAGAAGTTTTACGTCTATTCAGACGATACACACACACACTTTCACACACAGAGGCTTTTACACACAGCACCTTTTACGCAGAGACTCCCTTACACACAGACGCTTTTGTACACAGAAGCTTTACATACAGACACTTTTACACACAGACGCTTTCACACACAGAGGCTTTTACACT